TTACACACTCACTCCAAAACTTTCGTCCGTCAAAAAAAAATTGGGACGAGGTTCGACTTTCTGCGTTTTCGCATCCGTAGCAAGCATTTTGATAGGAAAGGATGACGAATACGAAAAAAAAAATGAAAATATGCATACGAAAATTTCGGACTCATTGTGCAAGGACCTTAAAGTTCAGCTAATTGCATGTAATAAAATTTTAAACTATAAAACATTTTCATTTAATTGCAATTAACATGCATTTGAGTGTCTGAAAACATTACGTTAAGTTCACACTTAAGTTCACAAAATATATTATTATTGTAAGAAGTACTTTTTATTTATTTATTATTATTTTTTTAAGTATACTAAAGTGCACTTCTTTACACTTTCGTGGTTGGCAAACAGCAGCGGTTTCTGGATATATGACAGTGTGCTGCTGCTGATGTTGGTTGTCTCCCTCAGGGCATCAAAGCTGTGCTGGCGGAGAGTTACGAGCGCATTCATCGCAGTAATCTGGTTGGGATGGGCGTCATCCCTCTGGAGTATCTGCCGGGTGACAGCACTGAAAGCCTGGGGCTCAGCGGCCGCGAGCGATACACTGTGATCATTCCTCCACAGATCACGCCCAGAATGACCGTCGACATCAAGGTAGAGCGCATGATTTCTGCCGCTAACCGAGACTTCAATCTCTTCAGGGAACATTTTACATGAAGTAGCCACTCAGTACAACAATAAATAAAAACCTAACACGCATTCATATTACAGAGAACTGCATCAGGCCACCAACATGCACTATTAACATGTTGTAGCAAAAATGTTTAAGAATCTTTATCTATCACATGCATATTACATACATGTGATGTAAATGTTTTTTCTTAGTTCCTCGTCCCACAGTGCAACAACAAACAAAACCAACAGTGAATTATGGACATACACGCATAATATATAACATATATAACAGCAGATGTTATCATCTTAGCAAACAGTGGGTTGTATTTCATTTTATTTTTAAATTTTTAATATTTAAATTTACTTTTCCCAGAAACGCAGGCCCGATAAAGAACCAATTTCCTAAATAATTGTTATTTTTTAACTAAAATTGAGACTTTATAAAAATAGTTTTATTTATTTAAATAAATCTGAAATAAAATATAAATATTAGTAGTGCTGTCGAACGATTAATCGCGATTAATCGCATCCAAAATAAAAGTTTTTGTTTGCATAATATGTGTGTGTGTACTGTGTATATTTATTATGTACATATAAATACACACACATGCATGTATATATTTCAGAAAGATATGTTATGTTTATATATTAAATATATTTATTTAT